CTGCCCGCCGGGTAGCCGGGGTAGGCGGCGCTGCCGTCGGCCGCGAACTGCTCCGTGGCGAAGAGCGACATGTCCGTGCCCAGGCGGTACCGCTGCAGCGCCTTGGCGGCCAGCGCGACCTGCGGGCACGCGGCAGCGTTAGGGGACACCGGGGCACCGCCAAAGAGCCCCGAGCTGCGGCCTGACGGGGCAGGGAGGGATGCTGGAGAGCCGGCGAGCGATGCTAAGAGTGTGAGTGATGCTAAGGGGAGTGTGAGTGATGCTAAGGGGCAGGTGAGCGATGCTAAGGAGTGTGAGTGAGGCTAAGGGGCAGGTGAACGATGTTGAGGAGTGACTGAGTGATGCTAATGGGCTGGTGAGCGATGCTAAAGAGCCGGTGAGTGATGCTAAGGGTGTGAGTGATGCTAAGGGGCAGCTGAGTGATGCTAAGAGTGTGAGTGAGGCTAAGCAGTGCGAGTGAGGCTAAGGGGCAGGTGAGTGATGCTAAGGAGTGCGAGTGAGGCTAAGGAGTGTGAGTGAGGCTAAGGGGCAGGTGAGTGATGCTAAGGAGTGCGAGTGAGGCTAAGGAGTGTGAGTGAGGCTAAGGGGCAGGTGGGTGATACTAAGGGGCAGGTGAGTGATGCTAAGGAGTGCGAGTGATGCTAAGGGGCAGGTGAGTGATGTTGAGGGATGGCTGAGTGGTGCTAACGGGCCAGCGAGCAATGCTAAAGAGACAGTGAGTGATGCTAAGGGGCAGGTGAGTGATGCTAAGGGGTGTGAGTGTAGCTAAGGGTGTGCATGATGCTAAGGCTGCACATCCACCCCATCAGGCCTGCTCCTTCCTCAAGGCAAGGCCCAAACCTGCCTCATTCCAGGGCCTGGACTCCGCACTGGCCTCCAGGGCTTGGGAGCCACATGGGCACCAACAGCCCCAGGTGCCACCAGGTCCCCAGGCGTCTCGTCCCCGCAGGCTGGTGCTGCAGAGGCTCCTGCCCCTTTCCGGGGGGCAGAGCTGCAGTTTGCAGCTCCCAGGTGACCAATTGAGCCAATTCATGAACCAGTTTGGTTAGCGGATAAAAGAGGGGCGCAGGGAAAGCACCTGACACAGCCCCCTCGACATGGCACTCGTGCCAACCCCTGCCCCTCCGCCCGCACTGGTTTCACTGGCACCGCGGCTTCCCGTTCCGCAGAAGGGGAAGTCTGGAGGTTGCCGCAAGCCGGTGCTGAAGCAGAAGCTCCCGGAGCAGCAACCACCGCCCCGAGCTCCTCCTC